CCTTTATCAATATAAAAATCTCTACCAGAAAGTCAAATTAAATTTTTATGAGCGTTTGAAATTCAAATTTTTACAACATTGGATGTTAACACTCGATTTCTCATGTAGCGATTTCCTTATTTTGTTGTAATTCAAAAACGAATAACTGTAGATACATGAAAATTTCACTTAATGTTCATATTAGCATTTCCTATACACGGTGCAATTTTGAAAATATTTTGACTTTTTTTGAGCTGTTTACGGACAATTACAGTTTTCAATTTTTTTTAGTTTTTTTTATTCTATAAATATCAATCAAATTTTATCGTTTGGGCCAAAAAGTGTAAAAATTTAATACAAGGCTTCTGATATATTGTTACAATATCAGTTGAAAAATATTAAAAATACATAGGCACAATCTTTTTTTATAAGCACTTAAAGATCCAATTTTGATAAAATTTATCAAAAAACTCGAAAATTATCAAATTGTAATTAATAAATTATAAAATGTTCAGTTTTTATAGCAAAGGATTGCAAATTTAAAACAAAGGTTCTCAAAAATAGTTCATTCTGTAACCAAAAAATCTAAAAAATATATGAACACAGTTATTTTTTACAGACATTTTAAATTCAAATTTGGACGAAATTACATAATAAAAAACCTAGAATAACTATTTTAGTTATTTTGTTGTGATTGTATAATATTATTCGTGGGTACTTGAAACTTCTAAAGTATACTACTATACGTCTATGATAGTATCAGGGTTTGTTGTTGGTGTATAACGAGTTATAAGTACCTAATGGATATTGTGATATGATTAATTTGGAATTCATTATAGGTCAATTGTTTTTAATACCATAGATAAGTAGGTATATACCTAATATGTCTTATACCTAGAAGGACATGCCGTCTCCGCTCAGAATCGTTTTTCTTATACAATGATATAATATCATTGAATTCAAATTTAATACCATCCATTATACAGTGACCCACTTGTAACCTACTGTACAGCAGAGCGACACCCACTTGCCCACTTTTTTAGATTCTGAGTGAAACGATGAATGTATTGATTTTACAGTGATGTGAGTTTTTTTTTTAAATTTTTTGTGTCTGTCATATTATCACGTTTTAGTACAATAAAAGTGCTTGGATTTTCTTCAACAGTAGCTTTTCTGATAGGAAAGTGAATCTAGTTGGTACTTTGGGGGGTCAAAAGTGAAAATTTCAAAGTAGTTTTCAAAAGCGGCGCGATAAAAAAAATGAAAATTAAGGAAAAACGGGAATTTTTACACTAAAATCTGTTTTCGAAAAAATCAATTTTGGTGTTTGGTGCAACTCTTAAATAACCGTAGGTACATGACCGTAGGTACATGCAATTTTGACTGAATGTTTATATTAGCATTTTCTATACACGATAACATTTTCAAAATGTTTTGATTTATTTTGAACTGTTTAGGCACATTTTCATTTTTCATTTTTTTTTTTAGTTTTTTTTCTCAAAATATCGATAACATTTAATTTGTTTGTTAAAAAAGCTTGAACATTTAATACAAGGTTCCTACTATATATTGTTACAATGACATTTGAAAAATATTAAAAATCGTTAGTTATAGTTTTTTTTTATAAGCATTTAAAGTTCAAAAATTGACAAAATATGGAAAAATCACGAAAATTAGCAAATTATTTTGAGTTAAAAATTCGTAAAAATTTTTCTTTTTAAATCTAAGATTTGAAAATGTAATACATGACTCCTTATGAGATTATCTACCTTTATCAATAAAAAAATCTTTACCAGAAAGTCAAATTAAATTTTTACAACATTGGATATTAACACTCGATTTCTCATGTAGCGATTTTCTTATTTTGTTGTAATTCAAAAACGAATGACTGTAGATACATGAAAATTTCACTTAATGTTCATATTAGCATTTCCTATAGGTACATGGTACAATTTTGAAAATATTTTGACTCATTTGAGCTGTTTACGGACATTTTCAGTTTTCAATTTTTTAAGTTTTTTTTTTCTATAAATATCAATTAAGTCTTATCCGTTGGGCCAAAAAGTGTAAAAATTGAATACAAGACTCCTGATATATTGTTACAATATCAGTTCAAAAACATTGAAAATACATAGGCACAATTTTTTTTTATAAGCATTTAAAGTTGGAATTTTGACAAAATGTATAAAAATCTCGAAAATTATCAATCATTGTAATTTTAAAACAAAGGTACTCATAAATAGTTCATACTGTAACCAAAAAATCTAAAAAATATATAAACACACTTATTTTTTACAGACATTTTAAATTCTAATTTGGACGAAAATACATATTAAAAAACCTAGAATAACTATTTTAGTTACTTTGTTATGATTGAATAATATTATTCGCGGGTAGGTACTTGAAAATTCTAAAGTGTACTATTATATATATCTATTATAGTATCAGGGTTTGTTGTTGATGTATAACGCGTTATAAGTTCCTAATGGAATATGATTAATTTAGAATTTATTATAGGTCAATTATTTGTTTAATACCATAGATATGTATATAATATGTCTTATACCTAGACTGACATACCGTCTCCGCTCAGAATCGTTTTTCTTACACAATGATATTATATCATTGAATTCAAATTTAATACTATCCATTATACAGTGACAGACTTGTAACTTACTGTACAGCAGAGCGACACCCACTTGCCCACTTTTATTTGATTAATATTGATTTGCATAGTTTTATATAATTTTATTTTATTTATTCATGAAGTACCTACAACCTACTTAAATATGTTAAAAAAAAAACAACTTATATGATGAGTTATAAGCAAGGTTTAAGTGACATCAATTCAAATGTATCTTTGTGGAGAGAGTATCAAGCAATTACTAAACAATATTTTTAAAAAAGCACACATTTTAAAACAAATATTCTTTTCTATGCTTAAAATCTAAAAGGTTAATGAAGATCTATCTCCCATATTTTCCGTGGGTAGGTCCCTTAGGAGGGAGCAATGTTTTTTCACCGAGGCTTAGGAGGTGCCGATTTTTTTTTTGCACTGGGGCTCAAAATGTCTAAATGTGGCACTGGGTATACCTATAGGTACTAGCATTGATTATACATAGTACTATGTATAATCAATGGGTACTGGGTGTTATATACTACTATACTAGTCAATAGGTAATAATACTATAATAGAAAAAGTACCGAAAGTAAATGAATCGTTCCTTTTGTGAACCTCATTGATTAGGACTTAGGGCTTGAAACCGTGAATATTTTTTCCTATTTCCATTTCGGCTGTCAGTATTTATTTTTTCCGATTTTGATTTTGGTTTTGAAAACCGGTTTTCATATTTTTCGATTTCGATTTTGATTACCGGTATTGGTTTTTTTCTGTTTTGTTTTTGGTTTCGATTTTTAATATTATTCAAAATCGGTATCAAATATCGGTTTCAAGCCCTGGATTAGGTATTACACTATATTAGAAATGAGTAATGCCTCATTGGAATAAGATATACATATAATAGATACACATATAAGGACATTTTTATGTTTAAGGATTAAGTCTTATAAATTTAACTGAAAGATGTCTCTTAAAAGTGTGGTATTCAACTTTAAATTTATTTGTAGAATTTTTGAAAAACCAGAGAATTTCATGATTATTAGGTACTTAATACTAATACATGACATAATCATTGGCACGGCATGGGACAATATTTAGACCCTCCAATATGCCAAGTCCACTTAATCGAGTACTAAAAAAATTTAATTTATCTATGATGATAGAATTAAAAAAAAATTATTTAAAATTTTATTTTTGTGATACAGTATTTCAAAAAAATAAAAGAGAATAGTGGTTTTTTCTTTAAGAAATGTGGTAAAGCCGGGTTTCTACTATGTCCAACTACCAACAACATGGTTTTGTGGTTAATCGTGAGGTAACCTAACCATCTAATCACAGAAAAGTATTTTTATGCACATGCACGAATAGTGTATAGTGGAAACCCACCTTTAGAGAATGTAATATGAACCATCCATGTTATATTTGACCACAGATATGATTAGACAGTCAACTACTAAATTTGCTTTAGATATAAAAATAATACATCTATTTAATAATAAAAGATATTGCATGAAAATTATGTAATCCAGAATACAAATAATTTGTATTTTTACGTTGATAACTATGGTTTAGAGACGCGGGGGGAAATGTACCACAATTTTTTTTTTTTTTTTTATCAATATTATGGGTGACTTGACTCCCACCCAAAAAATGTTGGGTTATATCCACCAATGCAACATTATTATACAATAATATATTATTATAACACGGTCAACTAAAATGGATTTCAAAATGCAAATAACTCTATAAACATTAATCAATATGCCATCTATTAGTATTCCTTATCCAATGGAAATTTAAACGACCAGTTTTAAACAATTGTGGAATTAATAATTATAATTAACTTTTTGAGGATTTGTAAGAATACAAGAATATATTTTAATATTATAGTTATCAATTCATACCATTAACATTAGATTAATTATATTTGTTCATTTCTTTTAACAATTATCTTTCTTTTTATTTTTAGTGTGTATTTACCTACTCTGAAAAACTAAAATTATACATCAACAATATTAATTACTTTAATTGTTTCAATATTTAGTATTTACAATTAAACTGTACAATTTTACTTATTCTTAGATATTAAAAATACTAATGTTTAACATACAAATTTAACACAATATCATAATTTATTAGTTTAAAAAAGTTTATGAAAAAATAAAATCTAACAAAATATTTTTTGTAGACTATCAATATTTTTTTAAATACTAACATAAAATTCCAATTACAGGGTAAAATTTGGTTATGAAATAAATCCGTTAATTTAAAATGTAAAAGAAAATAATATAATGGTTGTAATATACTTGATATTATTTATTTGATAAGTAGGGTAAAATAATATGGGAAATAAAAGGCAGTGAGAAATAATAGAAGCCAATACATCATGATCAAATGAGTATCACTTTGCAGCAGCAGCCGTTTGATGCGCTTTAGGGTTCAATGTAAGGTTATTAATAAGCCGAGTTCCAGAAGCCAAAGCTGATGGTGTACTCTGTCTTGTTATTGTAGACGAAGGCTCATCTTTTCTGATAACCTGAAAAAGTAAGAAAAAATAAAGTAAATATAATAATAAAAATAATAATATTGAAATGATGATGGGGATTAATTCTTAATTTTTATAAAAATGCCATTAATCAGCTACTATATTATATTTTGTCTCATGTAAGAGTAACCTTAGGTTGTTGACTGATTTTTATCCAGGTAGGTTAGACCACAATTCTCATTTAAATTGGTTTTTGTTGAATTACATAGTTAGTTTTTGTTTTAGATTACCGACTAAAACCAAAAAAATTGTTTTCCCGCTTTTATCTTAGCAAAATGCAAGGTAGGTGATTGTTGGAATAATAAAGTAATGCTCCCAAGAGCGACACATTCAATATGTGTTAGCCAAATCCATTGCCACAGCTATGCGCAGAAGCCAGCCATATGGTTACCTTTATTAGACTGAATATAAATATAGATCAAGGTTAATTCTCAAAACTTAAGTTAACCAACAAACAACTGAAAATAACAAGCTACTCCACCCTATGAGCAGCCATGCAATATGAAAATCATCTTGAGCTACAAACTCAACTATTATTATTAATTATTTATATCAATTAGAAAAAGTAAGCAATATTTATTTTTAAACAGAAGAAAGTTATTGGTTTTATCCCAGTTTTAATGAAAGTCACATAAGTTTATACTATAAATAATAATACTGAGGTTCTCAGTAGTAGTTAAAATAAACCGTGAAAAAAATATAAACACCAATTTTGATTAAAATTGTTGATCAATTGCAATTTATATAATTATTTTATGATTATAATAATGATAATAGTACAGTAAAACTTCCATATAACAGTCGCCGAAGGGACTATAAATAATGAACACTATTTAGAGGAGCTCGTCTTAAAGAGGTAGGACAACACTAAGATAACACTCGACGGGACCAAAAAAATTGACAGTTAACGGAAGTTTTACTGTATTACATTACTGACTTGTGTCAAGGAGAGCAAAAAGAGCGAAATGCAAATCATTCATATTATATTCCTAAAAAATAAAAAATATTAATATTAAAACTAACCGGTTCATCTTCGTCATCACTAAGCTCAATTATCACTGTATTTTGCTCAGCATCATACTTTTTTAGTATTGTATCAAGTTTATAACGTTTACGATAATGAGAATAAAATGATTTCAAATGGGTTTGAGTCTTTGTTCCCATTGTTTCAGCAATGGCTTTGAAATCTTTTCCATATTTGCGCATTCCTAAAAATGAAAAAACATATCAATATAATTATAAAAAATAATTGTTCCAATTAAAATAGGTTAGTTTGGGGGGTAGATACACGGTGTATTATATCAACAAAAATGACTTCACAGGAGGAACCTTTAGAATAGTCAGATTTTTTTTAAGAGACATTTTTTATGGCGGATCAAACGTTGAACATTTTATTTTATTATAGAAAAATACATTTGAGAAAGAACAAATATTGTGCATTATTCAAATGCATATTTTGAAAATCGGGCTTTTATCCGACCTAAAAAATCTTCTCCTTAAAAAAAAAAAAAAATTAACAAAATCCAACTATTCTACATGGCATGAGTTTTTCCTTAAAGACAAATTTTTGTACCAGAAAACGCACCAGCTCAGACGCCCTTAATATACAGTGACAAAGAGGACCAAGAAATTAAATTTAAATTGATATATTATACAGTAAAATATAGGTCAAACTTTTTATAAATTTAAGAGAGATAAAATCATACCACAGAAACAAATCGCAGAAGAAAAAGTTCGATGCTAGAAAAAAGTCTCGATAAAAAAGAATGAAAATACTAAAAATTTTTTCGAGACTTCTCTTTCCAATTACCCACAGAAACCTTTGAAGGTATTCTACCTTCACAATAATTCAACAGCGTTTTTAAAACTTCTTTAAAACTTATTTTATCTTTCAACTGTGGGATACAGAGTATGCTTTTTTATATGATGTAACAAAATTTATTGGTTCAAATTCTAGACATACCTACATATTATCTGTGAGTCATACCACTTTTCAATTATCTGTCAGTAATTTCATTATTTTTAGTTATTACTTATTTAATCAATGTAATTAGTTAATAATATTTTACTATTGTGTATACATATCATATACCTCGGTAATGTAAATTATACATTTACACGGCAATAACATTTTGAAAAAATATAACTAAAAGTCTCCTTCACGATAGTTGTAGGTATCTACCGATTATACCGACTACCCGGCATGTTCACTATTCATAATTCAAAGTAGAGAAGTAAGGATCAATTTGGTGAAATGTTACTGAAAACAATTTAACCTATCGTAAAAGATTTTCATTTTCAAAAATTCAAAAATGTTTAATTGTTATGTATTATACTCAACACTTAAACTATTAACAACATAAATTATAATAGTGTAATATACAGTATAGTATATACTATACCTAATGCCTACAAATTATAATCTATTTATTTGTAGTCTTATTTATCAGTACACACTTCTCAAATCTGAAGTGCACACTTCCAATTTCGGACTACACTTTGTGTTGGGGTTCACTAAAAAATGGGGGCTGATTGAACCATTGTAAAGCTTATAAAAAAACTATCAAATTGGAATCATTCCATCATTAAAAAGACTATATTGGCTAAATTTTTCAAACCTAACTAATGGAGGAAAAACAAAAGGAAATATACTCGCTCTAAAATTGATGAGTAGGTGGAAGTTACACAAAAACGGAACTATAATTATGTAAAGGAAGAGCTAGAGAACAGTCAGAACTTGGAGTGAAAATAAACCCTAAAATCTAAAACGCATTACAATAAACAAAATATGTGAATGGAAATAATTTAGGTTATATAATAAATTAGAAAAATACCTATCTTTTTTTTATTGGGAACGAATGATATATTAGGACCATTGATCGAATGATTGTGAGTGAGGAATGAGCATCATCACAAGAATGAAATGGAGCGGCATTTATACACATTATTTGTTACAAGTTCCAGCATAATTGAGTTAAACTAGATGACAATATTATTTGAGCTGGTACGGCGAGGAGGTTGCAATTTGGTAAAATTGGTTTGATAACATTAATGAACAGTGTATTGAATGGTATTGCGGAACCTAATTGTTAGTCGAAAAGTGGTTCAACAAAACCGGATTTACAAAGTATTTCTAGGAGAATGTTGGGAACCTAACCTGAGATTTGTATTTAAAGACCTCAAATAAAATTGTTAACAGGATGTCAGAGCAATATTTGTTTTCTCTCTCTGACCCATGCGCAATTTAGACAATTTTATGTTCACAATAATAATTAATAATTATAATAATAATCGTAATAATTTCTAAAATTAGAGTGAAAAGAACTCTTATAAAATTTAAATTTAAGATTACTATATAAGGCATCTCATAGGCGTTATTAATATTATTATTTTAAAGCGAGTTAAATGTTTTTTAATATGTACCAACAGTTTACAATTTTAAAATACTCATAACTCGCTTTAGAATTAAAATATAATAAAAAGGCTATGGATAGTAATATATGCCCTAGATAAAAAACTTACCTTTAAATTTTATAATATGAGATAATTTCACTCTAATTTTAGAAATTATAATGATTATGGTTATTATTGTGAATGTAAAATTTGCTGTTGCGCACTGGTCAGAGGGAAAACAAACAGTGTGCTGGCCGCTGACATCCGCTTAAAAGAAATTAGGTTTATAAATGCAGAGGAATGGCCAGGCCATATACAACAATTGTTTGTCAATTAGGGTAAAATTTACTGAAGGCCGAATTTCGAGTAAAACTATTGATTCAAATAATGTTCTCTATTTTTCAGTATGACCAGAGTCTTGAGTACTCAGATTGATCTGTAGGTTCTTATAAAAGATTTTATATAGGAGCTTGTCTAGACATTAGAGATTGCCTAAATAGTATCTGGAGTAGGATATAAAGGAAAGAAATAGTAGATAAACATGTCCTGTAGACCTAGCGTTGAAACATGATTATCACAATAACATTTAGGTCTATCTTTAATAGTTGATACGAATTCATAATACTGAGTATGGTGAAATTGTAAAGTTTCCTAATTTTTACCTTGAATAGCAAGCATAACTTCATCATTACTCCAACGAGAAATAATGCGGCTCGTAGTGGGTTCAACGTTTCTAAATTCAGTAACATCAAGTTTAAGCTTCTTATTCACATGTCCAATTTCTTGTTTGTTGGACTGTATCTGAGTCATTAAAATTCACAATTCGAAAAAAAAAAATATATAAAAATTGAGTAATGAGGCACATACTTTGCATTTTAATGATACAACCTCATCGTCCATTGCTGATAAGACAGTTTCTCCTTGACCATTGGATCCAGATGCAATAGATTGAAGATCATCATGATTAACATACATGCCTCGTGGTGGTAAACGCTTATTACGAGCAACATTCAAATGGCGATTGTTTGGACGTGGTGGACCTAATGTTGGTCTAATACCACCATTAGTCCTCCTGATTGTGTTAAACAAATTGATTATAATGTTATTTACATTATACATAATTTATAAGTAATATTTATTAATACTAATTTATATGTATTTTTGTTTCAATTCATACCGGAAATGTGTATGGCATGTGCCACACATTGATCCTTTTTGGGTAGGATGAAGTGTAGTAACAAAAACTCCACAAATTGAACAAGACTGTTTTGAACTTCCTTCCCCGGCGTCCTTCTAAAAAAATAAAAGTATGATCAGTATAATATATTATTTTATTTCAATAATTAATATTTAATAACAGAGATGCTAAACTGTCATTTACTCTCCACATAAAATAAAAAAAATCCCCTATATTATTATGCCTGTGGGATTCAGGTTAAAATTAGATTAAAATAACTTATTATACAATTGAAAGAGGATATTATAATACAAGTGTTATACACCGTTTTTGTCAATAATTTAAATTTAAGGCAAGTGTGATAATTAATGTTTTGAATCCTTGATCAATTAAATCAATTAACTTAATGAATACTATGTAGTATTTTGTTGTAGAAATGTAAGTATCGAAAAATAATTGGTTTACATCAATAGCTTGCTCTTTCAATTTTATAATTTAAGTAATTTTACTATAAAAAAATCATACTATGAATAAAATACATAACTGGACTTTGTTTATCGGAAAGACTAAGGATGGTCACACAACATCAATGTGGCGTCACCTCAAGATAATTCTTCTATAAATGTTTTTAATTTTTATTATTTTATACAACTTGACACTATCAAGTTTACTGCATATGTCCAATGATTGACACCCATCCACCATATATTTGTCTTTATTTAAGTCCAGTCAACTTACTGAGTAAGCCTGCTGATGAAGAAGTAAAACCTGTTTGGGATTGCAACACTAAATTATGCCGACACTACTGCTGTTATTTTCCAGAATTTATAAGTGTTTTCCATATACCTCATTTAAGCATGCTTACTTTTAATATATATTTACATAATTACAACATTTTCATGTAATAAATTATAAGAAATAAAATTACCATAGCAAGTTGTTATTTTGTACACCGTGCCTACACGTCAATGTTATACTAAACATATTGTGAGTTGTGTGAGACCGAAGTAAAGTTTTTGATAAGGACATTTTGTAATGTCTAGTCAAACAATTGTTTTTTTATTTTTACTATTAAATGTAAATTCATCACATATGTTTTCAATAACAATGAAATATTACAATTGCATATATTTTACTTTAAATTATCAGACTAAAGGTATTTTATTTTGTATATCATAATTGTTTACCCTATACCAATAAAATATGTATATTGCAATGAATCACTTACTTATTTATATTTTATGTTGTATTCAGTTCAATAGTAACATGAAAAGGTATTTTTTTTTTAGTATAGTGTCTCATCCTACAAATACATGTTTACAATTGCATGGTATGGTATGGTCTTTGTAGATTAAAAATTACTTTTTTCTTTACCTTGTCATCAGGCTCAGACTCTGCTGAACTGGACCCTTCTCTACTTCCGTTTTGATTTTCATTTGCACGGACACTTGCTAATTTTTTAGCTTGTCGGTCTATAACACTGCTCTTCTTTCGCTTATTTTTCCAAAGATAGTAATATTTGACTAATGATGCTATTGGTTTATCAGGCATCTAAAAGAACAATTAAGTGACATGTGAGAATTTTATTGATACATTTTAATAAGATTACAATTACCATTTGTTTAATGCGTAAAAAATTCTTTCCAATACTATTAAAGGCTGATTCAAAAGTAACCTTATCATCAGTTGACCAATCGTCTGGTAGAGGTGCAAAATTTGATAGATCACTAAGAGCCTTTTCCATGTCGTGGTGATGCCAGTATAGCATACCCAATGCCTGTTCACTGTTGTAACCATATTTTTCTTTTGATAGTAATATGTATTCATCTACTATATAAAAGAATAAAATGTTTAAAAAATAAAATTAAAGAGATAGGTAAATAGTTAAGAGGTAATACATTTAATTTCTGAAATATTTTCTGTTGGAGACCAAACCAATAGTGCTTTTTTGTTCAGTCGTTCACGTCTATTTTCTGTAAGTAATAAAATAATAAAATAGTAAATTTGTATAGATAAGGTTCAAAACAAAACATACTTGGGAGTACCAATAGCTTTGGAATGACAGCCTGGTAATCACGTCCCACTCTGATTTTTTCAGCTAATAAAAAAATAATAATAATTAAAACATTTTTAAATATAATAACTATTAAAAAGAAAAAAAAATGTATAAACTATAAAGGCATGAAGCAGGACTTAAATATGTTGTGGATCTTGACCTTTTTAGGAAAAACCTTGACAGGAAACAAAATGCAAATAATAAAAATTGACGTGTAGGACAATACGTATGTTACACTTCTATGGAAATCAGCTAAATGAGTGTGCTATTTTATGAGATCAACATATGCATTTGAGTTTTACTGATGGTAAAAAATCGAAAAAACTGGTCAAACTTGTTCGACATTTTCAAGACGCTTTTCATCAATTCATTCAAAAATATTCACATGACCATTTAAATGTTTTCGGACATCTGCATTATAATGCTTACCGTTTTCTTGTATGAGTTCGTCGATATTATCGTCCATTATTTCGGCATTTGCAGACGTTGCTGGTCGTTTGCCGTTTTTCAAATCTTCCAAATTATCGTTAGCCATACTTTCTTTGAAAATTACCAACGCATATTACAGAGAGTGGGCGCAAAATTGGCAATTCGAGCTGTGAAACAAACAAAACATGGGTAAAACTGAACGTAACGGATAATTACGAGCAGCTAGTGTATTTGTTAAATTACAGGGAAATTGAATATTAAGTAAAAATGTAAAATTTCGCTAGTGAACAAACGCATCGTCGTATATACTATACTACCTATATTATAAAATATGGGATTTAGAAAATGACACGTTTTTCTCCTCCATGGGCGGTATTTGAATTCGTTTTATTTCTTTTTTTCTCTTCTACGTATTTGTCCACCTCAACATATATGTATTGTTCGGATTTCAGACTCACTTGTGCTTTACCATTACCCGACGGGTCGAGAATCGTGATTGCCTTTCGAATTCGAAGCTTTTGGAATCGGATTCTTCGTCGACGACAGGAACCGAGATTGAAATAAAATCGCTCGTTTCAAAAATACTAGGTATTCAAAAAAAAAAGGAAAAACTTGGAACAAAAACGATCGTTCGTTTCCCATATAGACATGTATAATAGTATATACATGCTATGGCGCCGAACACAAATATAATAATAACGCGAGAGGGACACCAGTTAAGGCGGCGGCGGCGGCGGCGGCTGCAACGCACGGTAATGCGTCGTTTGCCGTAATGGCCATACTGATAAAAAACATGGCGTCTCTCTCGGAGGGTTATTAAACCTTGCTGGTTTTGAATAATATACCTACCTAATATTATTATTATTATTTTGTCATATACACATATTATTATATATAAGACTATATGAGTGTATAAGTATATAACGCGTAGACTCCACCACCCCACCACACTACAACCGCATCGTCGGGCTATAATGCCTCGTTGTAAATTTTCTTGTAATCCCGCTACAGCAGCGACCTACGAATGTGTGCTATGTAGTGTAAAGTAAATGTGTACTTAGGTAGAACGTTTTATACGAATATAATGATACGATTATACGTGCGATCTAAATGGCGTATTTACAATGGATCGTCTTCGTATCAATTTAACCGCTGCGTGAGACGGGTGTCAACCGAAACCGTTTATATAATATAATATTATAATAATTATCATGGTTATAACATGATGATTATAAATGCCATGTGGACGACGACAATATCGCAAATCGATTACAAATATTACAATAATTATATAATATTACTAAACCGTCGTGTCTCAGTGGTTATTATTATTATTGGCGATCAGTGTATACACGAGTAAATAATAATATAATAAAGGTATTATGATAATAACATTAAACGTGTACGTCTCGAATTCTCGATTCGTCGGAAAAAAAAAATGATGAACGCAATAATTGAGGTTTTATCGCTATCGTTTCTTTTTTAACGATTTCCAGACGCGACGCACTCACTCCGCACTCGGAATTCAGACCGCTTCTCCCATAGGCCATAGAGTAAAGAATATAGGTGGTTTCTCCTTCGACGGCGGCGGCGGCAACGGTCGGGCTCTCACGCATTCCGCCTAACGACTTTTTGAACCAATGCCGCCGTGTTTACACCCATAATAATAATGACGTTGTTTTATTTTATATTTTTATGAGACTAATAATAATAATATTATATATTAATATATTATGCATGTACGAGAGTACGAGACTGTGTGTTATAAATAGTGGCGTCCGATACATTTTCGAGTATAAATCCATATAATATAATTATGAGGGCGTATCGGATTCGCATGCATAATATAAAATATTACGTCGACTCCGATTCACACACGTACGACATGGCAAATTTTCGTTCACCAGTTTCAAATGTTTCAATAGTGCGCCGTCTAGTTTTGATATTAGAGTCAATCGATGAATAACTTTTAAGTAACAACATTATCTGTATTCTCTCGATCGGTTATTTTTACGATATTTTAATGTTCAAGTAAATTATGAGCATTTTCAAATATTAATTTACATGCTCATAAATTACTTCATAATTAAAAAATCGTAAAAAACCGATCTATAGAACACAGATAAAGTTATTACCTAAAAGCTTAATAATAGGTCGATTCACTGTAATATCTAAACTAACGGGACACTATTGAAAATTTGCTATGTCGTACGCACGTGTAAGACCGAGACAACGCACGAGGGTATGACGTCCTCTTAGAACATAACTTTAAGGACTTTCCTCCAAAAAAATGTTTCCGGATAATGAAGGTTATAAATAATATATAATTAGTAATAATCTAATAATTAATAAGATTCACAATTGCCAATTGATTTTATAATTGATTATTAAATTATATATAATGTAGTTTTTATATGACACTTCAATCACTGACAAGCATTTGACGTGTATATTATTCGTTTTAAAAAGGTGTGCCTATAAATACCTACTATTGGTTACCTCATTTTAAGGCCATTAAAAATCCTAAAGCAAAGAATAATTAAATATGAATTATGCTAAAAAAAACTTCTCGGGGCAAATACCCATGTTTACCCAGTCTAACTCTACAGCATATTTTATCAATTTAGCTACAGAGTACAGGCTACCTGGCTATGATAATATTTACTATTTTTTATTATACCTTTTACACTTAACTGCAACAGCAATATTAGAAAAACAGTTAAAGTTGGTATGTGTTAAATAATAGAATTATAGCTTTATTAGTATACAAAAAATATTAAATTAAATTAGCATAATAATATATTATAATAGGTTTGATTATACATGTGTAGTCGTGTGTAACAATTATTAATACAAAAGAATTTGCTTATCATCTAATTTTTTTTATCGAAATTGTTTATAGTTTTTATTTAATTTATTGTAACTGTTTCAATATTGCAATGACTCAATAAAGTCCCAAATATTTGTGTATTTCTAGAGTTTTTTTTAAAGGCTTTCACATAAATACATAATATTATATTGTTTGTAATTTTGTACGACCAGAGTCAAGAGTACAAGACCGCTATCATTTAGGTACCGTTGGATTGAATACACATTACTGGAGAACAACCCTCAACCAGGGCTTGAAACCGATATTTGATACAGATTTTGAATACCGAATACCGGTTAAAAACCGAAACCGAAAACAAAATCGAAAAAAACCAATACCGGTAATCAAACCCGAAATCAAAATCAGAAAAATCCAAAACCAAAAGCGAAATCAGAAAAAATAAATACCAATATCCAAAACCGAAATCAAAATCGGAAAAAATAAATACCGATAACCGAAACCGAAAACAAAATCGAAAAAAATATAAATGCAGATAACCGAAACCGAAATCTAAATAGGAAAAAATATTTACAGTTTCAAGCCCTGTCCTGTGAACTCACGAGTTCACCGATTTCGCACCTAAAGAGCAAATTATTCAGGAAACTTAGCAGTTAGCAAAAGCATTTATCTTATATCTAAAAATAAATCAACAATAAATACAGTAGGTATACTTTGTTCAGATTAAGATTGAACCACTTGCTCGACCAAAACAGGTTTTTTCGCGCATTCCGGACACCGGCGATGACTGTCGGCCAATCACAGAACGCATAGCCATGGCATGGGGGGGTCAGGCACTGTTCGGCGGCTCAGTCTGCATGCGCGAAGCTGGTTCAATCTTAACCTGAACTGAGTTTTTTTATAGCTGCTTGCCACTCGTATTATAGGTAGGTACTCTATAGACTATAGTTAATATACTACTATGCCTACTAGGTACGATTAATGATTATAGAAACATGTAAAGCCTAACCTATCATTTACCAACTTATTATTATGTAATCGTGCTATAAAATAAAAACTTTAAACTTTAAATTAAGGAAGAATATACAACTTTGAGAGCGGTTTCTGGCAGCAGATTGGATCTAGTTGATACCATGGGCGAGAGGTGGGATACTGCAGGATACGCCTATCAGGAAGACGGGAATTTCCTGTTGCCCTCCCTATGTATTTATTATTTGGTCAATGGTACCCTTTTTTTTTATCGTTCAACGCAATGACTCCATGATGGCTTTTTTTGTGTGAAACATCTAATGCGCTGGATAATAGTCACACGCGCGAATATAATATAATATAATATAATTCGCCTTTAAAGTAAAGAACAATTTTTCTTAAATAATCTGAATAATTTTTTTTTGATTATGCCATGTTTATTTCTTTTAGTAAACCATTCTTTTAATTTTCAGGTATATTTTCTATTCAATATAATTACATACAATGCCGCATTTAGACATTTGGCGCACCAGTGCCAAAAAAAAATTGGCACCCTTTAAGCCCCGGTGAAAAAAAATTGCTCCCCCTAAGGGAGTTACCCACTGAAAATATGGGAGACAGATCCTTATTAACCTTTTAGATTTTGAGCACAGAAAAGAATATTTGTTTTACAATGTGTGCTATTTAGTATTTTTTTAAATATTGTTTAGTAATTGCTTGATCCTCTCTCCGCAAAGATACATTTGAATTCTGCCACTTAAGCCTTGCTTTTAATTCATCATATAAGTTGTTTTTTTAAAACATATTTAAGTAGATTATATGTACAATGTACTTCATGAATAAATAAAATATAATCATATAATGCTATGCAAATTAATATTAATTAAAAAAATCTCAAACAGCATAATACTATGTATATATATTACTATTATACTAAATTATATTATATAATACTGTTATTAAAATAATACAATTTTAATAATTCACAAGTAAACAAATTTCTGACCACAAAATATTGGCACCCGTGGCAGTAACTGCTAGTACAACTGTTGTACCCTCACTAAATGCGGCCCTGATTACATACTTACACGAGTACTCGGAGTACCTACAGTGTACGCGGCATACGGATTTGTTTCTATTTCACGAAATGCATGTAATGTGTATCCCTTGTTTCAGTTTTATAATAATATCTGAAATAAATATTAAACAAACTGTACCTAGTTAGTAGAAACTATAGTATAAGCGTAACTTATAGTTTTTCTAATTAATATTAAAATTTGTTGTTTAAGTTTATATATTATATTATATTTATATACTTATAAGTTATAATATTATAATTATTTATAGCTAATAGCAATTAACCAAAGTTATCCTTACTATAAACGTAGGTTAAGCGTGCGATACGTTTACTGGGGTTTTGTATGTTTGGTTTGTATCAATATTGAATTTGCTGAATGTTTTCTATGGACTATTGGACTATGAGTGAATATGAGAACCCGTACTTAAATTATTATTTATAACACATTATAAGATTCGAAACAATCGAAACCAAACAAATACATTTTGTAGATACAACTATAACATTAATTAATTAACTCATCATTTAAATGTCCGACGAATGTTGAAATTGAAATGTATCAAGAATGATGAAAATTAAATATTTACTTAGGTATATTTGTTCACACCATATAGACATTAATAAAATTATACATTTATACACAATAGACATATAGGCACGACATAGATTATTATTTATTTAGATACCCATTAAGAATGATGTGCCAATGTAAACTGTAAAAGTACAATGGTCAGTAGGTACTCAGAGATTAATGAGTAAGAATACTAAATAGACTATATATTATTATAGTCATTATTCATTAATGATTGGTTAGATATACAATAGTACTTATAGTAGGTAGCTAGGTATATCGTATATATAACAAAAAAAATAAGATATATTTGGACAAAACAAATATCGATTTAATTTTAAATATAAATAGGTACCAGCTGGCAGCTACGTTATAAATATTTTAAAAGAAAAAAGAGGTGGGCACGTGGGTGTCGCTCTGCTGTACATAAGGTCACAGGTGGGTCACTGTAATAGATGGTGTTAAATTTGAATTAAATGATATATAATATCAATATATTATTGTATAAGAAAAACGATTCTGAGCGGAGACTGTTTGAAAGTTTGGATATTTTTTATTGTTAACATTTGTTATACCTAGCCTATAAGCTGAATTAATATTAGGTCAAGCCTATGATATTGCTATAAGTATGATTGATGATGTTATTGTGAATAAAGTAATTGACGTAGGAAACTTGTTTTAAATTTTCTATCCTTAGCTATAAAAGTTGAACATTTTATACATTTTTAACTACAAAATAATTATTAAATTTAAAGTTTGATAAATTTTGTCAAAATTCGAAAATTAAATGCTTACAAAAAAAAATTGTGCCTATTTATTTTTAATATTTTTCAATTGATATTGTAACAATATATCAGGAGTCTTGCATTAATTTCACAAAACTTTAAAAAAAAAACACATTGTAAAATCATTACATTCATCGGTCGGCTCAGCACTGAAAACATAAATATTAAGTAGGTACCTAACTCTACATAGTAGGTAATGTTGATTGAAAAGTACTGGTATTTTATTGAGTCTGGATCTGACTATTTGAGCTTATATCAGACTGTTGAACTGTTCAACTTATAAGTTTAGTCCAAAATCAGTGTCAGAAGTGCTATACCGGGACATTGTGTCATACTTTATGTGACTATATTTTCGTCATAAAGCTGTATATAAGTTGATTGTTAATGTAGGTACTAGGTATGTGATTGTACCTATTTGTTGCTAATAATTAATTGGCATAAAATTATCATTTTTATATTACCTATAGTCTATACGGGCGAATGTAAGTTCCCACACGAGATATAGCAGGTAAAAATTACCCCTGGATATCCATACGTAAGTTCCAACACGAAAAAAATTACACTTGTACGTAAGTTCCCACACGAAATTTCAGACACATAATAATGTTTATATAAATTGCTTATAATTTTAACTTTTAATTCGTTAATGCTCAGCCTTGCCAAACACAAACTTCCTTCCCACTTTATTCAGACTTAGGACTGACAACTTAAACGTAGTTGGTGTGGTTAAAATTTGTTTTGTTTTTGTATTGCATAAAAAAAAGTCCAATTGAATCTAGTCCGTATAATATATAATAAAAATTAATAATATAATGTGTATAATATTTGTATATTATGTATAAAATAAAAATAATAATAGAAAAAATCAAATTTTATTAGGTTTATTGCGATAACTCAAACACTATATTGTAAAGTGTTATTAGATCAAACAAAATGTGATTTTTTCTATTATTATTATTTATTTTATAGGTACCTATACAAATAATGTGTGGAAGAAGAAAAACAAAATAAAATATCAGATTGACTATGTGACTTTTGATTATGTGAAGTGTTTGAGCTTTCGAAATAAACCAAATAAAATTTGGTTTTTTTTTTATTATTATTATTATTTTATACCTAAAAAAATTTCGTTTAAGTTGTCATTCCTAAGTCTTACTAACTTAACTTACGTACAGGTGTAATTTTTTCCGTGTGGGAACTTACGTACGGGCGTATTTTTTTTCGTGTGGGAACTTACATATGTACTCGCTTACCTGCTATGTTTCGTGTGGGAACTTACCAAACCCCGTCTATACGGCTATACCGGACACTGATTACCAGACCAAGTACCCACCTATTAAAATCACACCCACCCCAAACTTTTTGGTAGTTCAGTAATCAGTGAACTACAATATGCATGATCAAGACACCTCTGAATCACGTCAAATGCGCCCTTGAATAACAGATAATTATTCTACAATCTTAAAATTCTATCGGCGTTGAAAAAAAAATAAAAAATAATCCCCCGCCAATAAGGCGTGGGGGGGGGTCAAACCCTATGACCTACTCTCAGTGGGTACGCCCATGGTTAGGCTACCTACCTAGTACCATTAATTATGTATAATCAATGCTAGTATCCAGTATCCACACCTACATCTGCAGAGGAAATAGCTTTTAGCTTTTCCGTCTTTCCGATAATTTTTTTATCTTCATATTATTTCTTTTGTGCGGGGGGTTCTTCTGCCACCTGAAACTCTTACAGTACTTAGCCAATTTCGATTCCCTTGAATAACCCCCAACAATTAAAATGCCTATGTTCACAGCTTTGAAAATAAATTATGCTTTACACGTCAGACACATTAATGGTGGTGGAAGGTGGTCCTCTATCAATGTGGTTCACTCTTGTATGAACGTTCCACAAAAAAAACCTGGTAGAATATATTTATTTAAAAGCAATATTCAACTTGCAGTAGTAGAAAACTTTAATTTTTTTTGAACTTTAATTCATAATATTCCGCAACATATTCAAAAAATCACTAAATGGTTCGTATATTTTCGATAAAAGTTTCTGAACTTAAAACAAAATTATCTAAGTACCCGAATGTTATTTCCTTTGTTCCCAATCAACTGTAAAAATCGGTATCACTCACATGTATATGTATAAAATGTAACTTTTGTCATTGAGGACGTCACTATAGAAGACAGGGGTAAATTTTGATTCTGAGATCTGTCTATATTTCTAAACATGTTTTTCCGGCAATACCAGGTATTTATATTTTATAAGTTATAACCAATAGTAATATGACAGGATGAATTATTTTTTGTTAAATAAAAATTGAATATTACATTCACTAGTAATTATTATGATATTACAAGTTAAGCTGTTGTTCACCTGTAAGTCAATACCAATGTACATTAGATTAGACAATAGATTTATGACATAAACACTAAACAGCTTGAAGTAAATTAATCTAAATATTTTGAAAATTGCATTGTGTTTAGGGAATGGAAATAATATACATATTATGCTAGGTTGCATAAGACATTGCAACAATTGATAAATGTTTAGTGATTTTCTATACAACTTGGCATCACTGTATGTAGTGTTATAAAGTATCAAGTCCCTATGAATAAAATTAGTTGAATTTTAATAAAATACCATTTTTAAAGTTAAATCAATGTTAATGATCCAAAAGGTGCAAAAAAAAAAGGCACGTCATTGTAAAATGAAAACATACAGCAGTCAGATCAGAATCAAAATATTGGGTACAAATACTTTTTATGTAGATTTAAAGTATAGAATATTGTTGGTATTCACAAATTTAGTTCTTCTTTGTTAATATTATCATATTTATTTTTCTTTGTTATATTGTACACTATCAACTCATCTACCTCGCCACAAGCATTACTTAATGAGGTAGATAAATTAATAATTTATTGTTACATTGTTACACTGTATGCCATTTCATTGTTTTGATAATAAATTATTATTTAGAGAAAAAAAAAATTGAAATATGTAAGTTAATCAACTGACAACTATACGTCTAAAGAATACAATAAACTGTTGTAACAAATACTAAACATGTGTATATAAAATAAAAATGATATATAATTGCTTAAAAAATCAGAAACTACTCCAAAATGTTGATAAACCCCCTACCAACTTGGGTATTAACGATTTGTTATCAGTAGCAAACATTAGTAGTGCAACGAGGACTTTTTCAAGGGACCTTGGTTCAAGAACTAGAAATATATCGAATTACGAGTTATAACTATTATCGCAATAGCCAATAGGTATCTGGTATATATATAAAATAATGTATAATAAATAGTATAGTATCCACTAAAATGTCAAAATCAAATGCTACCATCAAAATAACCACAGTAAATTTACAACTATCAACAAAACAATGTTTGATTGGCTATGCATCCTCCGAAGAGTTGTTGTTTAACATGACATGGTAAAACAAGACTAAAAAATACATTTCTTTGGTTTAGGTCACAATTGTTTTTTAGTCTGACAAAACTCCATGTATATTTGACAATAAAACAAAAGTTCTACAAAATAAACAAAGCAATAAAATAGAACTCAATTGTTTATTTATAAAAATCCATAGTTTAAACAGATTCTTGGACTGGTGGCTCGTAACCTTCAGGCCTATCTACTTGGACACCCGTTTCTTCATCAACTACAGTGGTCACACCTTCGTCGCTGTGGAATTCCATCAATTTACCAATATCCATACGTGGTTTCTTCAAAACTTTAACCTAAAATAATTATCAACATTAATAACGTGCAATTACTTATCAATGGGTTAAATGAGGGAAGTACCTTGCGAATAAAAACATCGTGTAATGGATAGATGCTTTGGCATTTCTTTTCAATTTCCTTAGCAATTGAGTCAGGTCGGAGCTTGTTCACTACTTCTTTTAAGTCAGATTTCACAATTTCTTCGGTAATAGTTTCTACCATCTTCTTTCTTATAGCTCTGACCTAAAATAATAAATGTACATCCAATAGATAAATATACAAATCATAAAATATACAGCATTTTCAATTGTATGTGCTCCTGCTAATCCATTTTATATTATATTTTAGTTGAAAATTATTTTTGTATCACTATTCTATTATTATTATTATAAAATTAATTATAGCGAGAAAATTATTATTATAATAGTTCAATATAAAAAGTTTTTACCTGAGTATGTTGAGCATAACAAGTTTTTCTGGTGGATGATTGATCTTTTGATGTAAATCCAATACAAAATACACGTAATAAGTATCCATCAGTAGTCTTTACATCAACATTAGCTTCAATCAGAGTTTGCCATTTCTTTACCATTGAACGCAATTTATCAGTGGTAAGGTCCATTCCGTGGAAATTGGTCAGAACATTTCTGCCCTTAACATCTTCAGCGATCAATTTGAATTTACGGAAACTCCTTTCAGCTCCATCATCTTCTTGCAAATCGGCGAGCGAAACTTCAAAGACACGGTGTTTCAGACCTTCAGATGCAATTTCTAAAGAATTTGAAATAACATTAATTGATGAGCATATATAACAATAAACAAATTATTTTATTTTAAAACTACTCATTACCTTAGACAACATTATTCACACAGGGCTTAAAATAAAAATTGTTGTATGTGTCATCCTTATCATTAATTTAGAACTCCGGTTAAAACACATTTTTTAAAATTAATTTTAACTAATATTAATGTTTAGGTAGAGCTTGGAAGTTCTGCATTTATGTTATAACATGTTGATACATGGTTTCAAAATACATATAACTATGCAAGTCAAAAATGTTCAAAAATGAAATTAAACTTAATTACTCCTTGCATAACATAATTCTTAGCATTACCTAATACAAACTACATAAAAGTTGAAAATGTTGGACTTTTATTAATTAAGATAATAAACTAAGTATTGTATGCACTAACACCCAGTATACAATAACAAAATCCATATTAATTATTTAATAAATCATTAATAAGGGGTTGTAGGTACCAAGGGAATTATATTATAAAGATCAAACAATCTTCTTTCTGATTATTTAAAAAAATAATCAAAATTGTGATTCCAGTCTATACCTACTAACATGTTTCTAGTCATTGAATAGGTTTAAAAATGCAAGTTGTAAGTAAGTATTTTTTTGGACATGAACCAATGCCATCCAAGTCCATTATAAAATGAAATAATTTTTTTTAATATATAATGATTGATTTCCAGAATAACAGTTGGCATTACAATACTTTACCCAAGTTATGACAATAGTAAAGGTATAAGTCTACTTTACTGGGCGACATTTTTTGTTATGAAAAGGGGTGTATTGATGAGTTAAGAACGATGGTGCAAAAATAAATTTGCAGAAATTATTAGTTTAAAAGTTATAACACTTTAAAATTAGTGCACATTGTGAATATTAAAATTTTATGTTAAATAACTCAATATTACATTCATTTAGAAATTGGTGGACGTAGCCTGGTGGTATAAGCACCTTCTAGTTCTCTAGTTGTCTCGGGTTCAATGCAAATTTTAACAATGTAACCTACTTGAGGTGGTTATACATATATCAATATTATACAAGTATCTCATGTATTATTTTACTAAATTAAATAGTTAATAGACTATAATTTCTACTATTCAAAAACAATATACAGCCCAAGACCCAATCTCCTTATTTAACCCTATATATAAGACGGAAATATCCTAACGGCAAAAAATAACAACATTCCGTGATATTTTTATGTCCTTTGTAATGGAAACATCAGTTGGTACTGAGCGAATCGGTAGTAAATACATTTTACTATACCAAAGTGCATTAAGTTATAGGTTAGCGTTTTGCAGCGGAGTTTGTTTCATAAAATATTTAAACAATCGACACAAGTCAAGTTATACTTTCATCGCGACTTTCAAATAAGCCTAACAAATAATGTGCTAATGCCTTGACGTATTTATATAGAAGTATTGCACACGATACAACGTCGTTTTAATTTAAATCAACAAAGTCAATACAAAAATCATTTAAACACTTACTCGTTCCCTGTGTACGATTGACGAGTGTTTTGCCAACATCGCGGTTTGTGAACATGCACGGGGCACGGACATTGTACCAATCCTTACGGGTGAAAGGGTCGATGCTGAAAACAATAAATACAATACCAAAATTAAAAAACGATCGGAGTCAGGAACATTCCGGGACACGATGATTAATATACACGTATGTACGGTATGGTTACGTTATCCGAAAAACCGTATACAACTTACATCTTCTTCTTCAAGCCTTTCTTGCCGCCTTTGGACAGCCCCTTGTTCTTGCCAACAGCCATGATACTTCGGTTAGTAAATTAAACGATCCCAAACAATCCGAATAACTATTCTACACGAAATAGAAACGGGGCAGCGCACAATGATTCCAACGTGGTTTGAAAAAGATAGATATCGTCACTCAATGGCGAATGGGAAAATTGCCGACGGGTCGCTATGCGCATGCGCGATATGATTTCATCCAAGGAGTTTGCAAATGTTTTGAGGTTACTCGGACACAACAAACGTGCGTAGCGTTTACGTAAGGCGCCAAATTACGAAATTATTGAACACAAATAATATTATGAATAATGAATAATATGAATGTCTAATAAAGTTTATAAACGATGCACATACGGGATCGACCAGAAATTTGTAAGAGGCATGGTAAAATTTGTGTACATATATTATTATAATGCATATATTGTAAGTTCTAAAATTATAATAATATATGTTCAGAGCCGTAGCAATGTTCATTAGCGCAGAGCGCTCCTGGCCATTTATCATATTTCCGCCCTTGTAAAATTGTTTTGACCCCCCCCCCCCCCTCACACACACACACACACACACATATAAAAGACTTATGCATTCGTTATTTTTTTTTAATAGTAAAAATTATAATATTAATAAAAAAAAAAACAATAGCAAACACTGCCAAACTTATTAAAACCTTATAAAATAATCAAAAAAAAATTATTTTTTACATTTATAAATTTCACTTTTCGTGCTTTTTTGGTAGTATACAATTAAGCTCCATTTTAGAAGGTTTATATTTTTTTTTTATTAAGAATAATATACTAGTACGTATACCACACTTGCGTTTGTTGTCTCCGTATTACAAACCTACGACATGGCAAATTTTCGTTCACTAGCTAGTTTTAATAATGTGCTGTTAGTTGTTATATCAGGGTGAATGGTGATGGTCAATTATTGATATTTACTATGGACCTATTATTAAACTTTTAGTTTAGAACATTAGCTGTGCTTAAGCGTCGGCTTTTATTCGATATTTAAGTTTCCAAGCAAGATATGAAATATCACAAATTAAAAATTCTCTTATCCCGCATGAAAATTAAAATATGGAATAAAAGAAGACGCTTAAGCACAGACAATGTTCTTAACTAAAAGTTTAATAACAGGTCAAAACACTCTAATATAAAAACTCACAGCACACTATTGTAACTAGTGAACGAATATTTGCTATATGTCGCTTCCATGTAAAACCGATAACAAAAGGATGGGTAACGTCCAGATATAATTTTAAAAAAATGAAATAAAACAAAATCGTTTAAAATGTAATTTAAGAAATAAATTTATATTTTCAATATGCTAAAATTTTTTTAGAAAAGAAAATTTCTCAGACTCATTAAATTTATGTTTAATCATTAAACTGAATTAAAGATATTTTTTTATCGATATCACTATCAAGCTAGTTGTCCAAATTACTCTATAATAATAGTAATAAATATCTAACCTTAGATTATCAAAAATAGTTCGTAGGATTAAAACAAGTAAAATGAAATAGATACTTGGCGTGAACTGTGAAGATAATTTTTAAAACAATATTAGACAAATATTAATTATTATTTCTTTTTCTTAACTCCAAATAAGATTTAGAGGATTTTAAATTAATTAATCAATTAATTGAATAAATGTTTTTTTTTAAATAGGTGAATGGTGAACAAACTATCTTAATGTTTATACATTATTTAAATTCAAATTTGATCGATAAAAATCAACGAATGTTAATAGTGACTTCTTGTATAGGTACCTACTAGATATTTAGTATTTACATTCTTATAAACAATTATTTTGTATAAACCTAGCCTTCAGAGAATAATTTATTTAAGAGGGAGGGAGGCTATTGAGAGTGCATAGCCACTCCACTACTCGATCCAGCCTCCTTAGTTGAGCAATATGTCTATTTGTAATTTGTCGGTGGTTTTTCCTGTGTCATTAAATAACTATTGAGAAAGTCGAAAAATTACCACTCTAAAGTACCATCTTGATCCAATTTTCTAAAAAGATAAGATACTATATTATGTTTAAATCGAAGCCCTCCGCCCTCCTTCTGGTAGAATATGTTGTATACAGAATACAAAAAAAAAATAAACACCAATGTAAAACCACTGGCTTCCTCGCCCCGCTCAGAATCTAATAATAATATTACAAATAATATTCAACTTACAGGCTATAATAAATAATAAAAATATACAATATCCAGACTGCCAAACCGTCTCAAACTGTATGAAATAATATTAGAGTCTAAGTTAAAATTAATATTTAATATCCAACTATCATATTCTTATTTCTTATACATCAAGTATACCTACTCGTATTGAATCTGTTGGTAATATTAATATTATATTACAACCTATAGAAGATTTTGATGCCAGTACATATATACAGCATAATATTATATTTATTAGATAATTTGATTATAGAATGTACATTATAATATTATTAACGATACAACCTTAATGAGGGCTACTAAGCAATATTGACGGGGATTCTATATTACAGAACTATAATCTAAAATTGAATACTCAATAAAAAAATATAAAATTATTCAGAAATGTGGAAATATCAAAATATCCTTGGAGATCTTTATTAAACATCGTTCTTCTCATAAAATAGCAGTCTTTTTGGTTTTTTCGACGTTTCTTGTTGATAAAATGTTTTGGTTATCAGTCAAAGAGTCTAAGGGCCGTTCTTACGACGTCCGGTTAAAGTTAACCGACACTTAACCGGAAGAATTCTGCCGGTAATAAAATCTGTTATCAGTCGGTTAGCGTTAACCGACACTTTACCGGACATTGTAAGAACGGCCCTAAGCATTCAATACAAGGTCCCTCGTGTGATTTATACACCAGTTACAACAAACCCAAATTCTACCAGTACAATATATAAACACGATTTCCACCAGTCACATAAATTAAATTTACACCAGCGTGTCGACTCTTAATAATGATATAAAATAAAAACCAAATAAATTACAAAGCATAAACGTTTATTAGTGTTAATGTATACACGATTACGGTTTTATAGCAATATTTATTTACGTTTTATATATGTATATAGCCGGACACAAACTCTTGGAGCGAACTCGGGATGATCGTGCACGGTGACTTACTACACTGGCGCCATAAACGTGATAAGTGAGGGGGCAAACTAAACAAACTTTCAAACCGGTGCCCAAACACTCCTCAAAAAACTATCTATACACCTAATGGCGTATGTCGCTGTTAGCACCACAGCAAACCATTCGCCGAGCGAATCTCTTCACTCGGCTCCATAGTGAGCGACGTTTAGGTCTGGCGGTTGTTACTGTAGTTTCCATTTCTGCAGCATCTCCACGACCGCAAAGGGATACAATTTCCTGTAAACTGGCGGTCTCCAGGTCCAAAGGTTTTGTCAAACCATTTTTCGACTCTGCATCCCCAATTGACTGTGGTGCCACTTTCAGTATGGGACTAAACCGTTGAGGGTCGGATTCGACCGGCTTAACCAGTGGGAAAGTTGTCGAGACGGACAACATCGTGTCGATGTCGATAAGTTCTGCAGCGACGGGTGTCATTACTGCACTGTTAGTTGTTTCCGCATACAATGAATCCAGTGAAACGGTAATTTCCGTGGACGGCATAGCATCAGGTGCATCATCTTCGGCATTTGTTAGGAATGCCATATCGGGCATCGATTTACATAGTCTTTGAGCCTTTGAAATCTTGACACTACTAACGTCGACCGCTATCTGACGATTTTCACGTAGATCACTGAAAACTTGCATCATCAAAGCGGTTGAGGACTGCAAATCGATCTGAACGTCTTCGCTAGCGGAAATTGGCATGTCGGGTAACGATTTATATCGTCGATGCAGTTTTAAACTGGTGAGATCATTGTCTTGAAAGCTTTTAGGGCGATTTTGCCGGAGATCGTCAAACACCTGTTTCATTATTTCAGCAGCGGACTGCATTTGGGTTTCGGACGAATTATTCACTTCTGTGATATAAGACATAATGATAATCTGATATAGGATAATTTCAATATATAAGACAATTTTTCACTGTGTTATAATCAGAGAATGATGTAAAAATATATTTACTGATTTAATAAGAACTAAACAGTTATACGCTGCCCATAGTTACAATATTTGTAATGTTTTTTTTTAAAACCAGTCAGTGGGGCCCATTATTTTTTATAAATAAATAAATAAAATAATAAATAAAAAAAATAGAGTGTGTTTGTAGTACCTTCGTGCAGGGGAAGTAAAACTTTTTCGCAGTTGATCGTATGAGTTGTGATGTGTAATAAAATATTAAATAGCATATTTGTACGTATTCGGAATCAGTATACCATTTTGTACATCTATAATATTATGTAAGTATTGTATATTAATTGTATTAAATTATGTATCGCTGTACACTGTTTGAATGTATAAACATTACATAATATGTGGTTTTACACATTATAATAATTCACATGATAATAATATAAATACTAATTTAATAATAATTATTTTAATATTTAAAAAGCTTATTCGTCGTAATGAGTAAAATTATAATTACAGTAAACTCAATTTGTGAATAAATAATATCATAATATTATGTGTATTTATGGCTGTGTACATATTTATTTAAATTAGCAGGGTAATATAACTATAGACTCACTCGGACGACTAAGTCCGAAAATACAAAATATTCTATTAAATTGTCATTTATAATTATATAATGTTTTCAAGAAGTAATAAGTATACATTACAAGGTATGATAAAAACTAGTACCTAGCTACAGTACCTACTGTGGGATAACACCAGTGCTACGACTATATACTACTATGAACTTGTATTACTCCGAAAAAAAATTTTTATTGTCAACCATAATACTGCTCCGATTCCGATATCAATTACTTCGAACATATATTACCTACTACGATATTATATTATATTACTCCGACATATTTGGATCAAGTAAAAACCATGATAAATAATATTAATAATATAATTTATAAGTTATGTAACCAGGGC